GAAGCATGGATGAGGTATCTGAACCAGTCAGTACCGAGGCAGTGTTAGAGCCAGGGGCTTGGTTAACAGTGAGGCGAGATATCAAGGCTTCAAACCGTGCACTGTCTTCCAATCTCCGTTGGTGGTCTCTCTCTGCCTCTGCTTGCCTTCTGTGTTCATCCGCCACACGTCTGTGAGCTTCATCCTCGCGTCTTTCATCTCTCATAAACTTCAGTAAAGCAATTATCTCTGGAGACAACGCTGAATATTGAGGTGAAGGGCTGCGCGATGTTGTGGGGGCTGGAGCGTCGTGGCCGGCCTGGTCATCCATCTCTGCGGGACTATCATCCGCTTGACTCATCCAGGCGCTGGGTCCACGGCTACGTAAGGCATGAGACATAACTACTTCATCTGTGTACTGTGTCTTAAATCAGTGTTGACCGGTCAGCCCGTCGTATCAACAAGATTTCAGACAAAAAAATTAATTAAATACACAGATAAGTAGGTTATATATATAAAATATATATAAGAGAGCCGCGCGGTCAGCGAGTGTTAGTACATGTATGTGTGTGTGTGTGTCCCGGGCAGGCAGAGCGTCTCGCCCCAGCTGTGAGGGGGGGTGGAGGCGGCGCTGTGAGGGGGGGTTGGAGACAGCGAGGAGCTCAGTCACCCTCTGGAAACGGTCAGAGAAGGGTGCACTGAACTCTACTCCCCACAAATGCCCAGAACATGCCGTATACCTTGGAAATCCTTTAAAACAAGGTCACACATGAATGGCACGAAACACACAATGCACTAAACACTTCACAGAAAATCACTGTCACTGACACTGCTCAAAGTTGCTAAATTCTTCGAGGACGGATGGCGGCGGTTGACACAGGGCAGGAGTCCATAAGCCGGCTTTCCACAAACTTTGCACTATCACTCGTAATTGTCCAGTAAAACTACGCACTGCGCCATGTTAGGTTCTGAATAATAAGTTCTATATACAGGAGCGAACACAAACACCTGTATAGTTTTGTAGGTTCAATTTACTGGATAAGAGATATGTACACAGAGGGAGGTAGCGCTCCTCAGCTAGGCTCCTTGTCAACTGCTATAGACGACGTATGGCAAGTGAGACATTAGCAGCTTCCATATGTCGCCAGGCACATTAATTAAGCATGTGGGATATCTTAAGTATATTGCCACACACTGCTAGCTAGGCTGAATAAATAGTACATAAATGGAGCACATACATAATATACATACATAATATATAATCCAGCATACATAATATACATACAGGAACCTTAAGCCAAGTAAACAATGTGTTTTTGCTCGTAACAAGGCTAATAAAGTACTTGGGTTCATACAAAGGAGTGTTAGTTACAAGACTAGCGAGGTCATCCTAAAACTGTATCTTGCTCTTGTGAGACCACACCTGGATTATGCAGTTCAGTTCTGGTCACCGTATTACAGAATGGATATAGAATCCTTGGAAAGAATTCAGAGGAGAATGACAAGACTAATCCCGGGCATTAGGAACCTTGAGTATAGAGACAGGTTAAAGCATCTTAATTTGCACTCCCTCGAGAGACGTAGAGCGAGGGGCGACCTGATAGAGGTGTATAAGTGGAAGCAGGGCTAAACAAAGGGGACATTACAAAGGTACTCAAACTATCCAACCAGGAGCGAACTCGTAACAATGGTTTTAAATTAGACAAATTTAGATTTAGGCGTGAAATAGGTAAACACTGGTTTGGAAACAGAGTAGTGGATGAATGGAACAAGTTACCAAATATCATCATTAACTCGAATACGCTGAATTGCTTCAAACATAGGTTGGATGCTCATATGAGCAATAGGGGTTGGGTGTAAACGGGACTGCCCAGTATGGGCCAATAGGCCCGCTGCAGTTTCCTCCATTCTTATGTTCTTATGTAATCGACGGTAGGGATAAATTAATAACAGGAGTAATATATAGACCTTCCAATCTTGATAGAGTTAATGAGCGACTTATCTGGGATGAAATGCGCAGGGCTTCCATACACAACAAAGTCTGTATAGTAGACGACTTTAACCTTGGCCAAATAGATTGGATTGACCTTACGGGTAACTCAGAATCAGAGGATTTTCTTGAAACGATCCAAGACTCTTTCCTAAGTCAACATATAACCGAACCCACTCGGGGTAATAATATACTCGATTTAGTTCTGTCTAACAGAGAAAACCTCATTAGTAATGTCGAGGTAGGGAACGAACTTGCAAAGAGAGATCACAAAGAAATTAGATTCCAGTTAGATTTTCAGGGCAGCCGTAAAGAAAATTCCACAGAAGTCCCAGATTTCAGAAGGGCAAACTTTGATAGTTTGAAGAGGCAGTTGAGAGAAGGGGCATCACGCTTGAGAGTGAACTACATGGACCTAACGGTTGAAACCGACCTCATAACGAGATCTGAGGTTGCCGAGTTCCACAATTTAAATAATGAGTTACTTAATGCACAAAGGCAGAACATACCATACAAGAAACTCAGATCAAACAACAATGACCCTAAATGGATAAATAATTATTTAAAGAACATTATTGGTCAAAGGAAGGCTATAGGTAGGAGGATAAATAGTGGCGAAATTTACCTCCGGGATTATTATAAGGTATTGGCCGGTAGGGTTAAGACCGAGATAAGGAAAGCAAAGAGGAATAATGAGCTGAGGATAGCAAGGGAGGCAAAGACAAACCCCAAGGGATTCCATCAAATGTATCAAACTAAAACACGAGAAAAGATTGGGCCAATACAGTCAGATACCGGCGAGCTAGCTGATAACGACGGATAAATGAGCAATAATCTGAATAAATATTTTTCAACAGTTTTCACCACCGAAAACTAAAACATGATACCCGAGGCACTGGCTTTATTCAGAGATAGTGAAGAAAATAAATTAAGCAAGATAGTAGTGACTAGTAACGATGTTAGTAAACAAATAGACAAACTAAAGCCTAATAAGTCACCTGGTCCCGATGAGATATTTGCCAGAGTATTAAAGGAATGTAAGGAAGAGCTTAGTATTCCCTTAGCAAAGTTGTTTAACAGGTGTAGTACCAGAATCCTGGAGGATAGCGAATGTAATACCGATTTTCAAGAAGGGGGATAGATCACTATCCTCTAACTACCGTCCAATCAGTCTAACATCAATTGTAGGCAAATTACTGGAAGCAATCATTTCAAACTCTATTCGAAACCACCTGGAGAAGCACAAATTGATCAATGATTCCCAGCATGGCTTCACAAGTAGGCGTTCATGTTTAACTAATCTATTAACATTCTTTTCATCAGTTTTAGAATGGGTGGACGAGGGGCACAATTATGATGTGGTATATCTCGACTTTAGCAAAGTCTTCGACAGAGTCCCCCACGAAAGACTAATAAGAAAGGTAGAAGCTCATGGCATTAAAGGTAATATTCTAAAATGGATTAGGGCGTGGTTACAGGACGGGAAACAGAGAGTGAGCATTAACGGCACTAATTCCCATTGGAGCAACGTCACTAGTGGAGTTCCCCAAGGCTCAGCACTTGGACCATTATAAGTAAATTTGCTGATGACACTAAAATAGGACGTGTAATTAAATCCACAGAGTAGTGGATGAATGGAAGTTACCAAATATCAACATTAACTAGAATGCTCTGGATAGCTTCAAACATAGGTTGGATGCTTATATGAGCAATGGGGGATGGGTGTAAACGGGACTGCCCAGTATGGGCCAATAGGCTCGATGCAGTTTCCTCCATTATTTTATATATATATATATATATATATATATATATATATATATATATATATATATATATATATATATATATATATATATATACACACACATGATAACCACCAAAGTGATACGGGTAATCCCCATTAGAGGTTCACTGCGCCATAAGCTCGTTGAACAGGCTTTGTGTGAAATATAACATTGTCTAGGACTGCTTTTAGTATCCTGGTGGTCTAGAGGTAGCGTTCCCCGGTCACAGTCATGGGCTCGTGGGTAATCGGTTCGAATCCTGGCGGGGTGAGGTGTTGATTGTATGTCGAAGTCCGCGTGCTTTATTCGGCTAATGAAATATATATATATATATATATATATATATATATATATATATATATATATATATATATATATATATATATACCTGTTGACTGGTTAATCTGACCTGACGGCTTACGCCACAACCGTGACCTTACCATCCATAGCGACAGTCCCATGGGGGTTGGTGGGAGTGGGTTCCTCTGACCGCATAATCTGACTCCACATATATATTTTCTGGGGCCCCGCAGTGGCTGAGTTGCCCCGGGCCCCGCACCCTCCTAGGGACGGCCCTATGTACAGTATATATATATATATATATATATATATATATATATATATATATATATATATATATATATATATATATATATATATATATATATATATATATATATATATATATATATATATTACAGCTGTGCCTCAATGTCGTACCTTAACTATTTACTTTTTCTTACCTTAAAAACAGACAAGTCATACAGCTTAATAATCTTATGCCCTACAAGTACAGTTCATTGAAGTTTCCTGGTTCAGTGATTCTAGTGGGATATTTCCTAGTGTGGGTTGCGTCATCCTGTGGATCACCTGGATTGAGTTTTAGCGGACAATATGTTCTTTCCTGTATGGTGTACATGCTGTCATCTGCGTCGCTGTTTATTAATTTATCGTATATTGTTAATGCCAAGTCCTGCCGTTTCTCTCGGGAGCATAAAAAAAATGTTTGTGGAGGTTTAGCGTGGGTGTACGACTTTGCGTGGCCGTGTGCCGGTCCTGCCGGACGTAACTAGTGTTTCTTGACGAGTCATTATAGTGAGGCGTATGACTCAACTGCTGTACGTCTGTTGATGTCGACACACCTCAAGATTGGTGGTCCACATGTACGATGCTGAACCCAAGTCCTGAGGCATACAGTTCCCTTTTCATAAAATAAGATAAGATAAGATTGTGGTAGGAATGCAGAAGGGGATCTGGCTGGCTCTGGTTTACCCGACAGTCTGTATTCGACCTGCGAAGTGTGAGGTCACGTCATCATGCTCTTCAAGGAATTGTAAGTTTACTTTCCCTACAATATTTACTGTGACGTATAAGTACGGCGTTAAGTATCCTGATTGTATAAGAGTCATTTATCACTATCAATTCAAGGAAAAGTGTATCCGGAAGTCTTGGTGGTACAGTGTTACCCCAGGATAATAATAGAGGCCATAAAAACAAACGAACTGCCCGAAGTAAGCCGATAAATAGTGAAATCACGTTTGCTGTTTGTTTTATTAGACTGAATAAACAGAGGTTATTCGGTTATACGTGACGCTAAAAAGCTAGTCTTGCGGTACGTTACCCACTTTATGATGGTTACACAATTCTGCCAGACGCTGTGGTTCAAATTTGCATAAATCTGATCGTCAAGATTCCCCTAATCGAATAGAAATTCCCAATTTCTTACTTTCGTATGTAATTAACATTTTTATTTTTTCACTCTTCACCACTCATCGGCTCGTTAACCGCTTGGGCGGTCGGTCACGTCTATGATACACACTGTTGGCAAGTACTGGGCATTCACTGGTTCCTGAATGTATCTGAAAATTCTGAACCTGCTCCAATGTTGGTCTGGTCAATGCCGTCGCAACCCTCTGGCAGATTGTTCCTTGAGTTCACATTGACGAGTTGACGGTCGGATTGTTTTCGTAAGATGGCAGGTTAATGGGAAAATAAAACGCTTAAATTCACTGTGGTAATGATATTTTTTAAATAAATTAGGCCAAAACGTGTAAAAAAAAGGGTTAAATTTGTTAAAAAGTCACGTGACTGCCAAAAAGCTGCGAGTAATACCAAAATGATACCAAAATGGGGAGAGTGATAAATTCAGACAGTGACTTTGAACACCTTCAAAGAGATCTAGATACCTTACATGAGTGGTCAGTAGACTGGCAAATGAATTTTAATACTGATAAATGCAAGGTACTACAGATAGGGAAGACGAATACAAACGTTAAGTATAAACTAGGTAACACGGAAATAGAAAACTCAGTTTGTGAAAAAGATCTAGGTGTATTTGTTAGCAACGACTTGAAACCTAGAAAACAATGTATTAGCGCGTTCGCAACAAGGCAAACAGATTCTTGGGTTCATATCAGGGTCTGTGAGTAACAGAACTGCTGACGTTATCTTGAAACTTTACCTAGCATTGGTGAGGCCACACATGGATTATGCGGTTCAGTTCTGGTGTCCTTATTATAGAATGGACATAGATTCTTTGGAGAGTACAAAGAAGAATGACAAAAATGATCCATAATATTAGAAACCTTCCATATGAAGAAAAGACTGAAAAGCTTAGGCTTACATTCATTAGAGAGGCGTGGAGTTAGGGGAGATATGATAGAGGTGTACAAGTGGGTAAGTGGGATTAACAAGGGTAAAATGGAAGATGTTCTGAAGCTCAGTAATAACGAAATAACTAGAACAAATGGCTTTAAATTAGATAAATTCCGATTCAGAAAGGATATAGGCAAGCACTGGTTTGGAAATAGAGTTGTGGATATGTGGAATAGACTACCGAGTGCTATAGTAGGATCGGGGACGCTAGGGAGCTTCAAGACGAAGTTGGATAGGCACATGGAAGTGCTGGGATGGGTGTGAAAGGGATCTGCCCTGTATGGGCCAGTCGGCCTCCTGCAGTATCCCACTTTCTTATGTTCTTATGTTATGTTCTTATGTAATTGTGACGTCATTGGTTCCCTCAAGCTGCAGAGAGGGAGCGTAGAGGCAACCAGCTGTGGTGTATGTCCATTATTAACTTGTATCCTCTTCACCACTGATCGGTTCGTTAGCCGCTTGGGCGATCGGTCACGTCTCTGTCACGCACTGATGAATTGAATTGAAAAGTGTATTTAGCCAGAAAAACCCAGATACAGAGAGGATAATAATAACAATATTAACATAGCTGGGCCAGTTGAGAACCTCAGCTCTCTTTTAGGCACCCGATATATACTATACATTTATCTCAAGGAAGTATTATGTAACATTTAGTATCATCTGGAATAGTACAATAGCATGTTGGTAATAAGAACATCTCATAATGTTACCACGGTTATCATTTCAATATATATATATATATATATATATATATATATATATATATATATATATATATATATATATATATATATATATATATATATATATATATATATATTATATATATATATATATATATATATATATATATATATATATATATATATATATATATATATATATATATATATATATATATATATATATATATATATATATATATATATATATATATATATATATTATAAGTATATACATAAATTACAGTGGAATTGAAAAACATGGGTTGTACAATACTTATCGTGCACATCCACACAATCTGGTGGGCAAGGAGGGGTGTAAAAGGGTGTATGTACAATGACCATCAACCCTGATTCCATGCAATGTGTCTTCAGGAACTTGGGTATTCAGTGTGTCAAAAAGCGTGATGTGGAAGATGCCTTGAAGCTAAAAGTATTAAGGTTGAACAAGAGGACAGAGCTGTCAGGATTATGTCTAGTTGGCAAATATGTTTATTGCAATGGTAATTTTTTGTCTATTTACATGATAATTTCCGATAAAACGGTTTTGATGGTACACTAAAAGCAGGTACTGTAAATATAATAGGTATTAAAAGAAATATTAATACATAGTGTAGGGGTATCGAGATATTAATGTCGTCTAGCACTCAGGATGGAAGGAAACTCTAATGTGGTTTTCTTGTATAATATATAAGTTATATGATAGACAGTCTGGTGCTGGAGATGCTGTGTGGTGAGGGGCTGCTTGGTAGAGACGTGCGGTGAGTAGCTTGTCGAAGGAGGTAGATGTGCAGGAGGTTCGTTAGAGAAGATGTTGCCTGTTGCTGGCCTCCTGGTTGAATGAATGCTGGACAGCTAGGAGCTTGCTGGAGGAGGTGTTGCGTGTTCAGGAAGATGGGCCAGAATGAGAGTTGGTTGGGGAGGAAGCTCAGAGAAGGACATGCTCGCTGGCGGGAGCGAGGACCGCCAGGCAGGCGAGGAGATGCGAGGGGCAGCCAGGCAGCGGCGGAGGAGGAGGTGTTGCTAGTTCAAGAAGAATGGTCTGACTGAATCTCAAGGGAGAGACAGAACTTATATACACCCAGCAGCGGCTATGAGTCATGGTGGGAAAACCCGAGAAGTAGCCGGTGACTAGTTCCGTTGCTAAGATACGGTAACATCTGGTTGGTTGCTAGGGAAGGCGGCACATTGGAATGTGATAGCAGGTGGTGGGCTGCTACGCAGTTAGTTTGTAGGGGAGACGTCCACTACAATAGACAATAGATATTTTTTAAGAGATGATTTAAAGTCTTTGCGTGGATGGGTGGGGGTAAGTTGTTCCACACCTTCACACCTTGATATTTTATGGAGGTCTGGGACTGAGAGGAGCACATGGCGGGTGGTCTTAGTAGCTCTGGGTGCCTTAAGTTGTATCTCTGATTATTCCGGAACTGGAAATAATTATTGTCAAGCAAGTGATTGATAGATTTGTAAATAAAGAGAGCACAGCAGTAGGTGTTAATATCTTCGAATTTTAACATTTTCAATTTAGCAAATTTTTCGTTTGTGTGATCTGTTTTTTTCAAGTAGGTCATTGTCCGTACAACTCTCTTTAGTGCAGTAACCAGGGATTGTGTTTTTGAAGAGCCAGAGGCCTCCATAGTGTGTGACAGTGTATCAGGTGTTGGTAAACAAGATCATGATAGATTTCTTTCATTGCTGTGAGAGTGAGTGACTGTCGAGTGTGATGCCGCACTGTTTATTGACTTTACTGTGAATGGCTTGTATGTGGTTTCTCCAGTTAAGTTTCTCATCAACAATAACTCCGAGGAATTTAGTATTTTGTTCGCGTTTGAGAAATGTATTAGCAAGGTACAGGGGGTTGGCAAGTACTAGTTATGTACTGGCTCTCTGTTATGCACTGTTGGCAAGTACTGGGCATGCACCAGCTCCTGAATGGACCTAATTCCTGAACCTGCTCCAGTGTTGGTCAAGTCTGGTCTTGAAAGAACTCACACTCGGTGCCGTCACCACACTTTCTGGCAGATTGTTCCAAGAGTTCACAACTCTCACTTCGAAAAAGTTTGCCCTCAAAGTTTTCTGGACTTGCGGCTTCTTCAATCTTGAGCGGTGGCCCCTTGTGGGACAAGCGTCCGCCAGCTCCAAGTAAGGACACTCGACTGAGTAGTGCCCCTTGAGATGCTTATACACCTCAATCAGGTCACCCCTTGCCCTCTGTAGTATAAGCCAGGTAAGTTCAGGTGCTCCAATCTCTCAGGGTAGTTGAGGTGCCGAAGTGCATTATTATGTGCTGTTTACCAGCAAAATTACAGGACTTGTGGCCATATACAATGTTAATATAAACAGGCATACCTTATTTTTAGGTTAAAATAAATTACTGCTCAAGTATCATCGTGTGTATTTACGTGTTGGGTGCGAAAATGATGCAAAAGACCGATAACTCCAACATGGAAGTTTTCATCACTGTTCTCTATTTCATGCCTGGAAAAAGTAAGTTTTCGTCATTGATGTCTATATTTAATGTTGTGGAAGGACTAGAGTACTTTAAACAATAAGACGAATTATCTCTACAGGATTTCTGTCGCAAAACATTTTTCTATTGCACAAGAAAATACAGGTCATATGTTAGGTTAGGTTAGGTTAAGTATGATAAGTTATAATATAATTTATTGCGACAATCAATAATGCCCAAAATAAACACATCCCTAAAAGAAAATTCAGATCGATACGGAACCAACCAAAATGGATGAATAATAGACTCTTAGATCTTCTAGGGAAAAAGAAAGGAGTATATAGAAAAGTTAAGAAAGGCGAAAATCACTTACTTGGTTACTATCAGAAGCTAACAAGACAGGTAAAAACAGAAATTAGGAAAGCAAAGAGAAATTATGAAATCAAGGTAGCAAACGAATCGAAAAATAACCCCAAAGCTTTTTATCAACTGTATAAATCAAAG